ACCGATGAAGACAAGTGTGAGAGATTAAAACCCGTGCGCAAATGGTACCGGACCCGAACCACGTAGACGGCTAAAACAATAGCTAGCTTCAGGCATCCATAAAAATCCCAAAATTTTCAGATCCTATACCAAAATAGGCGAAGCATGTTGCCGAACAAAATTGTTAGAACTAGTGGGTGTGCACTGCCAAAGCCGAATTTAATAAGCACCTATTTTAAGGATAACATCATGGAAAGTGAGTGGAGAGCTAAAACAGTCGGCCCGATGATGAGATCGTACTGCAGCTAGTTAGATGTACTTTGACTACCAGTTAGTCAAGCTTCTACAACAAGCCAGTGTGCATCAATCAGTCACTGAGCAGTAAGAGCATGGTGGTACGTAAATGTCAGTACAAGATACCGATTGACTGCAACCGTTTTGGAACCTAACCGATCAGACGCCAAGCATGATCGGGGAAGTGAGAATACATTGTCGCCGAAGGCAACCAACAAAAGCGTCGGACTGATGCAAAAAAGGGTCTTAAATAAGAGGGCATGAGCAGCCTACTTGGGTTTTCGATTCGCCGATAGTGATAGGGGTTGATGCACACCTCGTCCCGCTTGGCTTGAAACGAATACTGACAGTTCTCCACTGGCCGCAGTTCGTGTTGAGTGTGAAGGTCCGGCCAACGCCAAAGCTGACAGTAGAATACATGGGGTAGGCCCTTCTTTTGCGCCACCTGAACAAGAGATCCAAACCTCATTTGAAGTCGTGTCTTCAGCTTTTCATCGATTGGAGAATGAACCAAGCTAAAACGGACTGTCTAAGCGGCTAATGTCAATTATTTTAGGGTGAACCAGCATTTATTCCATCAGAAGCTTCCATTTGAAGTGCAGTGACAACAACCTTATAGTCCATGAAAATAGTATGCCTGAATAATTCATGAAGGATGAAACACAATAGATGTATTAAGTTTAAATGACCAAAACTATTACCCATGCCACCATTAGAGTTCGAAAACAGGAATAGTGACAAGGTGATTCATTCATTCTATGATCTGTTCTTGTGGTAACTTTGTAGGCACGCTCCTTTGTGGCCTACTAACATCCAATTAGGAGGGATGGGAAAACGAGCACACGTGCAACTGTCTGGCGTCTGTGCCCAAGCGCACAAAGTCACAAACATTAGGCCAGACACGCAGGCAGGAAGTTAGACAACGCATCAGCGCAGGAGTGGGAACGCCAGCATGGCCTTAGCCAAATCCCCTACTTGAGTGAGGGCTTATGAGTACCCCAAAAATCCGAGCTTACAACCACACTAGAAACGCCCGCTCAAACAACTTCCATTGTTAGGAAAAATGCTAAGAGGATGTGCAGTCGACTGATGGTTGAAAGGCTTATGACAAAATATCATGCCATGAGGTGTGCGAACCGATGCTTAAAATACACATACGATATCAATGGTGTTCATAGGCGTCATACGGAAGTTGGAAATGATTAAGTCGGGAAGCCGTTAGTATCAATCCAGTGTCTTCATGAAGAGCGTACAACAAAGAAGCTTAATCGGATGCTGGATAGCTTACAAGATTCTAGTTGTGGATTGTAGACATTAACCCAAGTAGCACGTTAGTAAAACGAACCCAATCTGAATTTCGGACCCATTAGTTGGTAGATTAAAAGGCAACTGGAAGCCAAACCGCACAAACGGCCAGAAAATTTAAAGCGGTTGCCTGTAGACAGTACAAGTAGCTGCTGCAGAAGAGTGAAAGAGAATTGCAAAGCAGGTAATTTACCTGAAGACGTCCATCGAGGGAACGTGGGATAGTGACACAACGAGTCGAGCTGTCCTGATTAACGATGGCCCGTTCCAGCTCATCCAACTGGTTTCCCTTCTTTAGCCTTTTCACAAGGGATTTTACTGCCTTCTCCTTCCACTTTTCCTCTTTATCAGAACCCTCCTTTATGTAGCTGATTAGACGCTTGACCACAGGCAAAGGGGTTACGAAGAGACTCATTCTTCCCAACGTATGACCTTCAGACTGCAAAGAGAGCAAAACGTTAACAAAAACGACAGGAGCAACAGTGCGAACGAACGACAACATAATCAGAACCCACAATAACATTCAAGTTCATAAAAAGACTTAATGGTTGAAGTTAACTACAATTGTTCTTCTTACTACACACAACAGAAGAACCGCTAAAGCCACCTTGGGTAGAGTAAGCTCAGCAGAAAACGTGTTTTAGGTTGTCGTGGGGTCAAATAAACACAAGTGGTCAACAGGACATCGTGAAGACACAAACCGATCCAAACACGGAAAGCAAAAAAATTTAACTAGGAATTTTTGCAACTTTAGATCAATAATGCCTCTAGAATGAAGCAAATTACAAAAAGTAAAACGCACTTGAGAAAGTAGCGAAAAGCCCAAAAGCAAACACACCGAAAGGCTCTTGACCAACTTTGGTGAAGACGCCTGTGACTGTAATGATCAATTGCAGGATATGATTTTGTGTTGCTCGAACCTTGCCATCGAAACCTCATAGACTTACACATTCTTTTTGTTAAAAGTGCCAAATGATTTTATTAATAACAAGCGGTCAATTAAAGTAGGGCGTAGTGATTTCGAGGTTGCAAACGCACCTAACATTAATGGTTTGGCTAAAAATACTTGAATTTTGGTAGAAAGTATCAAATGAAGGATTCCGTATGACTCAAACGTCAGTGATCATCCTTCATATAGTCAGTTGGGTAAATAGAGCATTATATAGGCGGCATCCCGATACTTCCCATTTGGAGAGAAGGTACAAGCCCGGTTCCGAAATAAAGTGCTGAAGATTTGCTTTACTCATATCCTCATTTTGTGTACTCTATAGCAAATGTCAGAAAAGCTTCTTAGACCAGTCCTCTACCTTATGGAGACAGAAGTACATTAACATAAATTTAAGGAGGGAAGAACTATAGTTTGAATATTAGATTATTCCGAAAACCGTTTGACACAATTTGAGGCAAATCAGACACCAAAGAGATTCTAGTCATAGAGGTTGTAGCGTCTCAAAACTTCCCATAGGGCGGAAGAAGGCAGTAAGTGAGGCTGGATACATACATTCCGAAGAGAACAGACCAAATGGGCCTGAGCATGTCCCAAAGACCAGCCCTCGAGTATAGGGGCAAGACGACCATTAAAGTCACAGCTAGACATGAAGAAGCAAAGTACTACATTGCCTGTCGCTTCCCTTGAACGACGTTCTTGAAACTTCTATTGGTATGCCTCCCATGCCAGTCATCGCAACATATTCGGTACTTCGGGAAAACATCCACGAGCCAGCCGCACCAACCATCAACTATAATGAAGCTGGGGAACGGTACTCTGCTTCCTCATCACCTTCAACTGGATTTACGTTCGACCTAACAGCTGGAACCAGGGCGACATACGCCCGCTGATCATGAGTTGCTTCCAGGACTCGACAGTGGAACATTAATCCAAAACAGATGCGTAACACGGAATGTGGGATCAAATTGTCCCTTATGTAAGGATGTCCATGATATCATTTTTGACACTTTTGCGCCGATTATAGGAGGCTCAATGCATTGACATTTCTCTCACCCCCCATCGGTGACATGTTAGACTTTAGAAAGTGAGCCAAGCGGCTATGTAAGGTAGGCTTGAAATCTGACCATTATCAAGTAAAGATAATAAAGAAAGACAAGGTGAAATGGCTTTCATTGTGCCAAACCGACTGCACGAGTTTAGGGCAATGCCATTCGGACTTTACAGTCCAGCAGTTACTTTTTAATGACTAACGCAAACAGCATTGCGTGACATATTCCCGAAGCACTGCATTGTCTATCCCAACGACATTCTCGTCTTCGGAGGAGACAGTCAGCAACAAAACTCCAATCTCCGATTAGTGCTGAATCGCCAATGGGAGGCAAGTTTGAGGCTGCTTCTTAAGAAGTGCAGTTTTCTTTAGAACTCCACCAAAGGCGTGAGATACACGATTTCTTTTGGTGGCATGGTATCCACTGAAGACCGGATAAAGCAAGTGGTGCCAGCCTAACATAACTATGCAGCTTCCTTGGCTATTCGTCAGGGGTTTCATCAAGATCATGAGCCAACTTTTCAAATTGACCGAGAAACAGACGAAAAAGCATTTTTGCTGTAAACGCCAACATGCAGAAGAGCTGAAACGCTCTATTCGCAAGGCGTTGATTTTGGCCTTGCCCAACGTCTATGTTGGTGCCCCATCTTCCGTGCTGAATATCGATGCAAACGAAGTAGAGGTAGGTGGCATTCTTTCCCAGAGACACAGAGACAGAGTCAAACACGTCACCGCTTATGCCAGCTCACACTTAAGCAAAAAATGCGACAGAAGAATGGGAACTGTCTGCTATTGATGCAATGGCAAGACTTTTATAACCTACCGATAAGCAAACCGTTTCTTGGTGCGTACTGATCATCAAGCACCAACATGGTTGAAGAAAATGAATATTGACCGCTCCGTCGCCATGTTGTAGGAAGAACTTCAGTAATATGACGTTGTTACACAGTATAGGAAGGGTATCAACCATGGTAATGTACTGTTGTGAAGACCCTCTCGGTGTCCGCATATGGCGCGTTGTTAATGAGCGAACTTACCAGCCATCAAACAGAAATCCGATCTTGATGCAGCCCTAGTGTTAGAGAGTTGAAGGTCATCCTTAAATAAGCCTTCAGCCGAAGAGATGAGACCGACGGGAAAGATAGCCAAACGGATATGAACGAATTGGATGCAACTCTCCGTTGAGGATGCTAGCCTGTGGTGCAAAGATATTGCAGTAAACCTCAAAAGTCTCGTCAGGCCAGGCTCGCTCGTGCAGCCAGTTTTATTGGAGTTACGAGAACATCTTAGTCATCTGAGAGACTAGAAGGTAGTGTACACTACAAATAAGGGGTTCTGATAGCACTCGCCGATCTCGGGTGTTTTTCAATTCTGTCGTACATGCGCCACATGTATCAGCGTATAGACCCCCAATCGCACTGAGGTGGCGCTCCTACAATTTATACAACAGGAGCCTCTGGAGAGAGAGTAGACATCGACATCATTGGTTCTCTCCCTACAACCAAGAGAGGAAATCGTTATATTCAAGTTGGGATCAAATACCTCACTACGTCACCTCTACAAACACAGGATGTTGCGGCAAAGGAAACAGCGTTCTTCAACCGTTGAATCTTTCAAGACGGCTTATCAAAATCTGTTCATAGAGGCCATGCCCCTACTAATAAAAGCCGACTCTGTGCAGAAATGTGCAAAACGCTTGGTATTTTTACACATCCCCCACAAGGTCCGGAAACTCACAGGGAATGGGCAAGTAGGGAAAGTGAACGCACGTCCATAGACCTCTCGAAAGCTTTGACCAAAGGCGCACTGTTCGTACTTCGACAGGAAAGTGACATCTTAAGATGCTCATAGGTAGGAAAAAAGTTTCGGGTATCTCTCTCCTTAGCGAGGATTCATTGGCCAATAAGGCTTTAAAGTACATCGTGAGGCTAAGATAAGCCCTGCAGAAGGTAATTAATGCAGCATGGAAATAGCTGCAAGAGGCATGCAACCGACAGAAAAGGCTCTACAGAAAACGGGTTAACACTAATGTTTAGAAGGAAGGAGATCTGGTCCAGATATGCAAACAATTTCTTCTCCGGTCACATATCGGAAGCTCTTTTATCCCTAAAGCAAGACTCCCTACTGCGTGGTTAAGGTGTTGCCCCTGACGAACTGCGCATACGTTTAGAAATAGTCCACCACAACAAGATCCCCTCCTATA